TTATAGTCTGCGTGGTCTAGTTGGACTTTCATAGGATCCTTGGCACCAATCCGGGCCAATCAACAACTAGAACCAAATTTGACATGTGTTGAGTTTGAAAAGTAGAGTTTTAGATGATACACACACACGGAGAACCAAAAGATAGGAACTCTCAAACGAACCAAGATGAGGTTGTCGCTGGCGGGCAGCGGAGTTTTGGCCAGTAAGTGCAGCGGCGTGGCAAATGTAGAATCGGGCCCACCCAGACTGCCACGATGGTATTCGGTGAGCAGGGCTTGTGTGGCTCCACCGGTAGTGTCACTGCGAGAGTCCTCCAGAGCCATTCGCATGGCATTTTCGCCAGCCTGGCCGACCTAAGGAAGAAGATGATTGAAGGAGCGGGATGGAGTAAGTCAACTATAGACACGAATGACACTAAGCAGGGTGTTCTGTGGTCGACAAACTAACCTTGACGAGGTTTTCCAGCTCGAGGTCAGATATTTGTGGCGCTGGAAGGACGAGCTTTGAGCGCTTGATGATCGGCTCGTCACCCTTTTCGCGGCTCAGCAGTGCGCCGGGCAGGTCAGATTCCATGCGTTTCTTTTGGCGTTCTGCGTCCTTTTTGCGCTCGAGCTTAAGTCAGAGAGAAAAGTAATAAATAAAAAGAGGACAGACGCTGCAAGTATAAGGATAATGAGGTGATTAAAGTAACTAGCAAAGTTTGAGAAGGCAGTTTTAGTCCAAGAAGCGCTTAACCGACAACAGCATTTCGGGGTGGATAAGAATAACGAAAACAGCACTTAAATCGGAAGGCAATAGGACACCACAGAGGACCGGGGACCACAGTGACCTCGCTGAGATTCGAGTGTGTATCAGCCAGCGAAGAGAAAAAAAGTTGTTGAAAGCCCCCAAAGTAAATAAGTACAAATTTGAGGCTGATTAAAGTTGGATGATGTCCTCCAGATCTTCAGAAACGGTGAGAGATATCCCAGAGCCCTACTAAAGAGGTCAGTCTATTGAAGACAAGGCTGTTTGCAAGAGGGCTAGGCTGAACGTTATGATCTTTGCTACCAGACGTGTGATCCGTATCAGATAAAATTGTTTTGAGCTTTCAGATTCCTTACGCAGAAGTAGGAGGAGCCGTCAGGGCAATTACCAGTACACGTTTTCGAAATCACGTTTTCACGTTTTCGAAATCGTTTTCACGTTTTCGAAATCGATATCTTAAAATCAGTCGTTTATAGAAAAGGATAAAGGGGCATCCAGTAACTAGATACATCATTATTTTTAGCTTTGTTGTATAGAAGCTTTTCGAAATCGTTTCACGTTTTCACGTTTTCGAAATCACGTTTTCGAAATCGACATCTTCACGTTTTCGAAATCGATATCTTAAAATTAGTTGTTTATAGAAAAGGATAAAGGGGCATCCAGTAACTAGATACATCATTATTTTTAGCTTTGTTGTATAGAAGTTTTTCGGAGCCCGTGTTCGGTATTACGAGGCTAGTTAGTATCTGCGAAGGATTCCATAACAATGAACTCCTCTGATAAATGCAGATAACAATTTACAAAAAGTACGTTGAAACAATTACTAAGTAACCGCGCAAATTAATAACTTTAGAATCCGGACTGAGACACATGTGGATGTGTGGCGTTTAGCGAGGTTACTCTAAGCTACAAAAGGATACACAGTTCAACACAACGTGTGCTAAAATTCTTAACCAACGAGTTGGAAGGACCTTCGATTTTCGGTCTCCCTCGCTAAACAAGTGTGGAGCTTTCTAGATCTGCTGCCGCCAATCATCACGCGTGGAGGTACCATCTGTGATATCATTGAGGCCGGCTAGATCAGACATGATCACAGCCGAGACAAGTACAAGCAAGTACTTAAAACCTGATGCTGGATCCAATACTTACTTTATTACTCAACCGATTGGCCGAAATACTATGCGATATTAGGTAAACACATGTAGGTATGCAAATGTGCTTTACAAATTCTTTTGAAATTCCAAGTGCAACGAAAACAATTGAAAACGCTAAGTTCTTTACCGAAGAAAAAAGCAAAAGGAAAAAGTAAGTAAAAACAATTAGTATAGGGTTCACTTGCGACAGCAAGCCTGTTAACTTGGATACAGCGGATAGTTTGAACACGGTTAAAAAAAACTATTTCATTGAATATCCAGCCACCACAGAAATCAAACGCATTAAACGAATCTTCTAGGCTGTGCCTTAATGTAATAATACGAAAAATGTCCAATAGTCGAACGATATAAATAGCCATTGGACTATCAAAGAGAGGAATGTCTCAAAGGTCATGGGCAGAAATATGGAAAACAAATAGAAAGACCAGCAAGGAACTATTTTCACGCTTTATAGTAATAGCACATGTTAGAGGAAAAACAATTAGTTTTAATGGTATTTCAAAGTCTTACCTTTTCTCTCTCCATGTAAGACTCTTTCTCCACATCTGAGAGACGCAGTTTGTCGAAGTTAATGGGCTTCGGCTCAGGAAATTCTCGACTTGTGTCATGAAAGCCCTTGGGAGGCTGTTTTTCGAACGGGATCTCACGATTGTAGTCGATAAACACTTTCTTGTTCACGAGAGGCGGGACTGCCGAGGCCAATCCGGCGGCACGCAATTCACGACGTTTCTGCATCATTGCCATGCGTCTGGCTATTTCTAATTGGCGTTCACGAGCTTTGCGTTTGGCTTTTTTGCCCTATAGACAAGGAGTGAATGTTAAAGAAAGCTCAATTCGAAGGTTGCATTGGATTAAATGATAAAAACATACCTGAGTATTTGCCAAACGAGCTCTTGCTTCAGACAGCATTTCTAATTCGTCCTCATCCATATCCACTGGATCGGGTCTGGCCGGCTTCGTTTCTGGACTCGGGTCGATCTCACCAGGACGCAAACGCCTTGGATCATCTCGGTTCGTACTCATATCAATGTTTTGTGCTTTATCGCTATTATTTGTGTATAAAGAATGGAACATAACTTACAGAAGATATTCGTAGCGCTCTAAACATTGATTGGCGGTTCGACCGACAATGGGGGCTATGGTCCGCCATTGAGTGGGAAGCAATTTTGCCAGATGCAAAAGCTTTTCGTCTTCCTCCCGACTCCACTCAGTCTTCTTCACGCTCGGATCTAGCCATTCATACCATCTTGCTTTACATTGTTTCGCAGACTTTCGATGTAATAGTGATGCTATACGAGCCCATTGATTTTTACCATATTTCATAACAGCTGCTTTAAGAATCTCATCCTACAATATAAACAGATAACATAATGCTTTGTTCTTACTTCAGTATTTCTCCAAACACCACCTTTAATGTTGATACGAGGCATGTTTTACAGGTGGACCTGGGCGTAAGGCAACCTGGAAACTCTATCCCTACGAGGCGCTTCAATTATGCACAGATTTAAACAATAATACATCTGTTCATGTGTCATGTTTCATCAGTAGAGGGTAGAGAACGGATCAGTGGGCACCCCTTCTTTGCAGTCACCGGACATGTGGGAGTTT